TTTGCTAATTGCGAGCGATCGCCGAGCGACCGACGTCATCGCATCGGGTAAATTTCTTATGTGCTCGCTTCGCCAAACGTTTAACATTTCAAAGACGCCACTACGGTTTCGTTTCGCAATCGAGTTCTGTTCCCAAAGATCGATTCGAACGAAACTCGAATTAACTCGTATTCGTATTTAAGAAGATCACCAAACCAAGAGTCCCTAGAATTATATATGCTATTTACTAATGCAAATATACGTGTAATAATAAAATGTAGGCGACGTACGAGCGCAAAGGGTTAAAATAAAGTTCGGATAAAATTGAAGAGATTCGATATTGCGGGAGGCGAACGGCCTTTCGAAATGTTGGAATAGTAAAAGTGGATCTTCCACTTGTCAAGGGTAGGTGGGAGATCGCTCGAAAGGAGATAAATCATACGTTGCAAATACGTAATTATTGAACCGTCTCCATCAATCTCTACGTTCGTTTCCATTTTCCATCGCAACCGTTGCTTCTTTATCAATCAAAGATTTTCCGGTCGCGAGAAGTGTAAAAGATGTACGCAGATCTCGACCTTCTTTGTGTACAACGCTCTTTTAACACGCTTATTAACTTTGGTTCTTGGAATGGCGTTAAGGGCACGCCTGGTGGTTCGCTTCTGATTTATGCGTAGGCGGCCTCGCGAGTATCGCAAGAGTTGCCGTGGCGAGGAATCGTCGCCCACGCTGATTGAGAGTACATCCCTCTTTGTCCAGGTTCATCCTCGAACAGGGAAGCGAATACAAGAGAGAGGGAGAAGAATGCACGTGTATATATGTATATATTCTTCTCGAAGAGAGAGAGAGAGAGAGAGAGAGAGAGAACTCGAGATATGCACGCGGCATTGACACGGTGTCGTTACCTCGGATGCAACGCACACGAGATTGGATTCTAGATTTCAATTAGCCTCATCCCGCCGAGTAAGAGCGCTTCTCGAACGTTTCTCGGTTACCTGGAAAACCTAATGCGATAAGAATGTCCCCGGCTGGAGGATCGAAGATCAATAATAACGAAGGAAACAATACGCGCGCTTGGAATGGAAGAGCAAGCAAGCTTATTACTTTTCTTTATCTTATCTTTCCAATTTTCGATCGTTCGTTTGAGGGACGTCGCTCAAGAGAAAAAATAAATCGAGTTTGTGCTTCGTCGATCGATTTTATTTCTCAATTCTCGAGAAAAGTCTCGGCTTCAGACAGTCTACGTGGGATTATTAAATCGAACAAATTGCGTTTTAAAAGACAGTTTGTTTCACGACGATTTACGTAAACTTGCGAGCCTTTTCGCGAGCCGACGACTCGTCTCGATAGAGATTCTCCCTGCAGCCAACCGCTCTGCGCATAACTACACGCGATGCCGAAACGCGCGTGATGGCACGCACACGATCGATTTAAAATCTCTCGTTACCCGCGCCACACGCGTCGCCGTGTTCCGATCGGCCCGCAATCGTCCATTCGAGCCGCGATGATAACATTGGCTTGGCATTCATTGATGAATCGGGTCGAGCTTTGCTTGAGATTTTATTCCGGGAATAGGTGGAGGAGGGGCTAACGGCGATACAAAGGCGAGGGAATAAATTAATTCGAGTTAGTTTCGTTTTTTCCTGTATTTTATTCAGTCGTGTCGCGAAGTGGGGAAATTAAATACATCGGAGGATCGTCGATGTGAATCGACGAAACGGGACGGAACTCTTCCGACTCGTATGACGGTCGACTCGATGACGCAACCATGATCCATCCATCTGTTCTCTTTTCGCTTTCGCGACAATTTGCACGGGGAGGGGGGAGGGGGTTCCCGGTGTTATTAGCGCGGGCGCGAATTAATTTTCGCAGGAAGGAAGGCGTAATTTCAACGGTGGCTTTCTACTGGCGATGCAATTTACTCTGGAATTGAAACAATTAAACTCATTCCCTCCTCTCTCTTCGTTCCAGCGATATGCAGATTATTGTTGCGCGTTTTCAGGAAATGCGCCTTCAGGGGGACGAGTTAACGGGCGAATTTTCGTACCGAATATTTTCGGTATTACTCGAGATTCACTTCCGTTCGTTGCGGAGAGAATTACCACGTCACGTTTCCTTCTAAATTACAAATTACTTTTCGCTTTCTCCTCTCTCTCTCTCTCTCTCTCTCTCTCTCTCTA